AATTGTACAGTCTACAACTTCCCCAAATCGAGACAAATATTCAGTCAGATCTTTCTTGCTTGTATCCCAGCTCAAGCCTCCAATAAACATTTTACTAGAAATAAAGTTATTTTTTAAAAAAATATTAGCAGCACCTCAAGGATTACTTCAGTTCTGGAATTATGTTTAACTACGAAATACTGGGGGGGGGGCGTTTAACCGTATATGCAAGTAATTCAATCCGTGTGTACACATCACATACAAACAAAAGACCACAAAACCCCACAAATTCCATCGAGGTCACTTATTCGAAACAGTGGACATTTTGCTCACCATACTGCATAATACGAAATTTAAGCGAGGCCAACCAAGTTAGTTCTACATTGATTTAGTATTAAAAATCCAACTTCCTAACCCGATCCCTCACAACTTAGGTCCACCCCCTTCCACAGCTGTCAAGGCTATGTTCCACCTAAAAAACTCATAACGCGTTCTGGGGATCCGGGTACCAGTCACACACTGATTCCCAAACTAAGCATTCCCTAAACTCTCCCCAGTAAAACTGTGCGGGGGGCCCTAACACAGACACAATAAAAAGGCGGCGGCAGCTGCAGCATGTGGCGCAGCGAGGCCGGCCCCTCCCCCTCGGGCCCCACGCGGCGCCTGCGCACTCGGGACATAGACGCCACCGCCCTCCTCCTCCAACTCCTCCGCCCTTCCCCCACCTTCCGCGGGCCTCTCGAGGCACCCCCTCCGTCTCCTACTTTCCTCTTCCCTCCAAGCTAGTGCGGCCCAGCGGGCACGCGGGGAATCGACTCGGGGCAAGAACCGGGGCAGCACGCGGCTCCCGAGGGATGAAGGGCGCGTGCGGCGTGCTGGGGGAGGGGGAAGAGAGGAGAAGCGTGCGGTACCCGTCATCCTGCTGATTCTTGCTCGCGTTGATCTTGGATCCCTCTGCGAATTCCTCTATGTTGCTGTACTCGTTCATATCCTCCATGGTGGCGGAGTTGTCGGCCGTGTGGTGCTGGCGCGCAGTCCGGGTCGCGGCAGCAGCGGCGGCGGAGCGTTGTATGGAGCTGGATTTAAAATGGCGGCGGAAGAGATCCGGGCGCCGCCTGCGCCCTCCCTTTATAGCCGCCCCGCCCGCCAATCGGGAGGGCTGCTGGGCGGTGACGTGGCGCTGGGCCCGGCGCGCCCCCTGCCGGGCGGAGCTGGGAGCGAGCGAAGGGAGGAGCGGGGCGAGCTGCCGCGGCGGCCGCGGCCGCCAATGGGAAAGGCTGCGGGAGGCTAAAGTAGCGGGAGCGGAGGGGAACAATGGCGGCGGCACATGGGAAAGCCGGGGCGGGACCTCCATCGCGGCCCTCCCGGTGAGGAGCGAGGTCGTGGGTGAGGGGACGCGGGCTTAAGATGAGAGAAGCGTCAGAAGAGAAAAACGAAGGGGCGAAAAGTCCTGGGGTCAAATATCCCGAGCAGCGCCGTCGCAGGGCCACAGTCCCTCTTGTCTTGAGAGCCTTTGTCTCTGGCGTCCGGTCCAGCCCACTCCTAGCAAAGAGCCGTCAACCCCGCCTTTTTCCAAAGCCCTCGGTCCCCCAGTGCGGACTGCTGCGGTGGCGGCTGCTGCTATCGATTAGCACCGTGGCCGGGGTGCTCCGGAAAAAGGTGGACTGCGCCCGGCGCCGGCGGCTGAGACACCGAGCGCACCCGCCCGCCCGTCTGCCGCGCGCACGCGTGTTTTGTCCTCGAGCTGGCTGGAACCAGCCGAACAGGAAGCGGGCGCGCGGCGGCCCCTCCGGACAGCGGTGCGGCGCGGGTGCCTCTTCCGCTACCGCGGCAGGCGCGCGGGCCGAGGAGGCGCGGCGGGCCTCCCTAACCGATCGGCCGGAGCCCGGGCCAACGCAGTCAGGCAAACCAGTCCCGGCACGGCCTCTTTTGCTGGCTGAGGACGGGAGGAGGGGCGCGAGCCCGATCAGGTTACTGTAAATATGCAAAAGCGGAGGCAGTGGGCGGGGAGGGGGCTAGGTGCCGTAGAGGGCAAGGGGCACTCACATCCCCGGCGCGCCACTCGCGGGGCTCCCGTCTGCACGTGCCCCGGGCCTCTCCCGCTCGCTCAACCAGTCTGCGGAGAGGGCGCGCGCGCCCGCGCACCCGGCTCCCGCGTTCGTTTCTTTGTTCCCGCCCACGCGAGGCCCATTTTGACGGATCGGGTTCGAGGCTCTCTGGTGGCCAATCGGCTTCGACGCCTTTACCTCCCCCCACCCCCTCGGAACTACGCGAAGGCCGCCCCTTTTCCCTGCCCACGTGGTCTCGGCCTCCGGCCCTAGGCAGCTAGGTAGTTCAGGGCGCCTGTGCGGCCGTCTTATCCACCTTCAGGGGCGCGGAGGTGGCCCTGTTCCTCGTGCTGCGGGACGCACGCGGCTGCCGGGTGGGAGATTCTTGCGGGGCTGTCGGAAGCCCAGGACTGTGCTGGGGGCGCAGTCTGCGCCGCCCTCCGCCCTTCCTTCCAGTAGGCCGATTCCGGTAGTTGCATCCGGTAGGGAAATGGTTGTGCTTTCCGTGCCCGCCGAAGTCACTGTGATCCTGTTAGATATCGAAGGTACCACAACCCCGATTGCTTTCGTGAAGGTGAGGGGCGGAAGGGAGCGGGGAAGTGACTTGTGCTTAAAAGCAATTAAAAACATTTTTTTAAGTGTTGCGTACCTTGTACCAGAGACATGAGGCGTAGGAGAGGCGGTGTGGCTTTGCACCCGCTGTGGGGTGGGAGGAAGTAGTGCGGCGGGTTGCGGCAGTGGTTTTCCTCACCGTACTCTTCGTCCTCCCCAGTCCCTGCCCTTGGTTCAATGCAGATGGATGGGAAAGGGGTGGAGATGGTGGCGAAAAAGGGCGGAGGAGGGCAGATCCGCCCGGGTGGGGAGAGGGGACGTGGGCGCCCCCCGCCGGCCAGGTATGCGCCCCGTCGCCCCGCAGGTGAGCGCCTGTTTGGCTCTGGGTTGGGCCCATCTAGGCGGCAGCCGCGATGGAGTGGTCCTGGAGGCTTCTAGTCCCGCAAAACGTAGACTGAAGTGTCAAGATGACTTTTCAGTTAGCCCTGGTATCTTGGGCTGTGGTGGTTACTTTTCGCCCCCTCCCACTCCTGCTATTAGTGTGCCGAACTGCACTCTTCATGTTATTGGGCTAGACACTGCGGAACGCTGTGCTGATTTATTAAGCTATAGAACAAACATGTCTAGATTCCGTTCATTTTCCTCTGAAAACCATGGAAACTTGAACCTCTTACCCATAGCCTCTATCCTAGCCTCTGTCACTATTAACCAAACAATTGTCTACACCTAATTCGTAAACTTATAGCTCTGCATTATAGCAGGGCTTTTAAAAAAATACCTGTATTCTATCAGTAGATATTAAATATTAATATAACTTTAAAAAGAATTCCTCGGGCCTAGTCTACGCTTTACTCGACTTATAGAGGTTTAAGATGAAAGCATTAACTAGGAGGGTTTGCAAACAATAGATATTGTTTGCAAACAATAGATATTGCAAATAATAGATATTGTTTACAATGTAGGGAAAACCCATCTTCCAACAAATTGAGCAGTCTGAGTTTAAAATTTTTTTTAGTTTTATTTTTAAAATTGCCTGTGAAGAATGATTTTTTTGATGTGGCTTATAATGTAAAATCAGTGTACACTTTTAGGACTCCAATATAACAACCACTTACAAATTTTTTAAAAGAATCACAGTACCATCTTAGCACAAGTTCTTAAGAAATCTAGTTTGACATTTTTTTCTGTTTTTAATCACACCAGAGGCCTCTGCAGAAATAGTCAGGATTGACCAAATGCTGGTAATGGAGTTGACTTATTTTTTCTTAATGACTGACAGAATAACCGCTTTCTCAGAGTTTTCAGAGAGAAAAGGATTCCTCATCTTTGTGGGTTATAGTTCACAGCTTATTAACTCCACCAGGAATAATGACAGGAGAGGTAGTGATGCGGCATAAGATCATGTACCATTCTTGGAAAGTTGATTAGGGACTAGGATACCTCATGCAAATCAGTTTTGTAACAAAACATAGGTCCCTCTCCCACCTCTCCACTCCCCAGCCAATCCTTTCTTTTGCCAGATGACATTAGCCACTTCTTGAAATCTTCGTTATGGTAGATTTATCCTGACATCTTTCTGAGAGTTAAAATGTCTTCATGGCCTAAATAGATTTTTTTTTGAGTTTGACACTGATCTATAGGTAAAGTCAAGGCAGCCTGCAAAAAATGATTTTGGGGGGTTTTGTTCATTTCTTTTTCTTTTTCTTTCTTTTTTTAAAGATTTTATTTATTTATTTGACAGAGAGAGAGCGAGAGAGGGAACACAAGCAGGGGGAGTGGGAGAAGGAGAAGCACGCTTCCCGCGGAGCAGGGAGCCCGATGCGGGGCTCGATCCCAGAACCCTGGGATCATGACCTGAGCCGAAGGCAGACGCTTAACGACTGAGCCACCCAGGCGCCCCCATTTATTTTTCAAATTTAATTATGTTAATCACCATACATTACATCATTAGTTTTTGATGTAATGTTCCATGATTCATTGTTTGTGTATAACACCCAGTGCTCCATTCAGTACGTGCCCTCTTTAATACCCCTCACCAGGCTCATCCATCCCCCCAACCCTCCCCTCTAGAACCCTCAGTTTGTTTCTCAGAGTCCATAGTCTCTCATGGTTCGTCTCCCCCTCTGATTTCACCGCCTTCATTTTTCCCTTCCTACTATCTTTTTTTTTTTTTAACACGTAATGTATTATTTGTTTCAGAGGTACAGGTCTGTGATTCAACAGTCCTACACAGTTCACATCGCTCACCATAGCACATACCCTCCCCAGTGTCTATCACCCAGCCACCCCATCCCTCCCACCC